ACGATGATTGGAGCGAGAAAAAGACGCCCGTCAACATTACGGAATAACGATCCCGCTAACAGTCGTCAGATCGTCTGGTCTGCGACAGACGTGTAACCCAAGCTCGACGGAGTCATCATGACGGTTCCGATAGGGATCAAACCGAAATCAATGCTAATAGCTCCACTGGGTTTTGCGGCTCACGCAAAAGATTCAGCCACGGACCGCTCGGAACAATGTAACCATTATTGACATGGACAATCCGCAGTGCCATCTGACGTGGACCACGATCGAATCGACAAGTCGAAGAGGCCCTGTCGGATCTCTAGAAGGTGGACTTTCCTGAAGAGCTCTGCGCGTCTGAGGCGATCTCGTGTGTAGGAGCCCTAGGGAGTTGGAGCCGGCAGAGACTCGTGCTGCGGGCATAGCTTCTTCTTCCGGATTCTGGGGCATGAGAAATGAGGAAACACGGGAAACGGTTCCCTTACAATCGTTGCCTTCGTGACGGGGAATGCAAAGAGACTCGAACGTTACATATCTCTCTGCGCTGCGAGCAGCTCGAGTTCAGGAAATATTCAAGTGACGACTTCGTCAATCGAGTTGGATGGACACATCAAAAAGAGAATCAGAAGCTTCACGAAACCGTTTGAAATAAAGCTTGAACCGTCCTGTGAGGCCGGCGCGAATAGGAAATCAATGCCGGAGCTATGAGTATGCGATCGCTTATGTATATGGGCCTGGTGGTATGCTAGGCGGGGCCTAGTTCTAAGCTCCGGCATCTATACGCGATTTGTCTCTCACTCTGAATGTGTATCCTCTAGTCTTCTCCCCATGATATTTTGTAGAAGCCCACGTCACGATGGATTTCTGTCAGAAAGACGATTATCGAGGTGTTTTCTGTTCCAATTCTGAACGCGGGTGGTCTAAACCGCCATTCAACATCGATTCTGCGAGAATCCGCAAATGTCGACGTAATAATCGACGATAAACCGTTCTTTCGCGCTTTTCGCATCGGTGGGACGGAATCATGATTAATCAAGCGTAACACAGGCGTGAATTTTATCGCCAGGGTCTGGATGGCCGCACATTAGCGAGGAGTGTCGGACGAGAGATTTGGGATTTTCAAGAATGCCACCAGATTCGCTCGAGAGACGAGTTCAAGGGCAGAGGACTTCTATCTCGAATCACGACCCAGACTCGGCGCCAGGACATTATCCGCTGAGACAGATTAGAACCTTCGGGCCTCGGAAATAAATTGATTGAAATCATCTCCACGAGTCGAGTCAATTGGCGGATAAATTCGCTGTTCCCGACCATTTCCAGTTCTACGGAGGACCCTGCGTGCACGAAGCCAGATCCCGAGGGCCTAGGGATACCAGCATGCGGCCGGAACAGTGCCTGTTGACGGGCACTCCAAGGAATCGCCTCAGGAGGGATACGAGTTTCCGCCCCCTTCCGGGAAAGACACGTCACGAGGCGCGAAGCGTAAATTAAACAGTCACCGAAGACTGGTCCAAGCGCTGCTTCGCAGGAAGCATCGCGAGATGAAAGATGATGAATAGCTGCTCTTCAAAGAAAATGCGAGCTCTTCCACGACTTAATTATGGCCTTTCAGGGGAATGTACGTGCGTTCGCGTTTCGTCGGTGAGGGAGACGCGCGCCGTTCAAAGAGAAGAGGACTCTTGATCAGAGCCCGAATGAATTGTGAGATCTGATGCATAGCTCCGAGGCTCAGCGAGCTAGTGTTATGCTATTTGATCCATCTAACTCTCTGATTCTCGTCAAGTCTTCGCAATCGTTCGCGTAAGCTTCTTCCCGTCGTGGGTGATGAGCCTTAACACGAGGGTTTTGAGAGTCGCGGCTGATGGGCCGCAACATGAGGGTTGTGAGCGATTTGCGATGCCGGATTCTTCTTTTCGACTTTGATAAGCGGGCATGGAGCAAACGTCTCTCGGAAGAACTTGTGAGCGTGGAAGGACTCGAAAAGTAGGTACATAATATCCATGGCTGCAGTCGACAAAAGCTCTCTTCCGTTGCTGAATTCGATTTTCCAAAAGCCCAACGTCAGAAACCCGCATAGCGATTAGTATATTTTTATCACAGCGGAACGGCTGAGTCTTCTCATGGCCTACGCATGGGAGGCAGGTCATTTGCTCCTCTCGGGGTAGAGAATTCAAACTCTGAGAGAAAACTCCCTTCCTTTCTGATGTCTCATTGATTCCTTAGGCTCCCTGGACGGACTCGAACATGATGAATATTGATGGAAGGTTTGCTGTAGTCATTTTCCGAGGAGGCCCGGTGGCAGGATAGGAAACGATATAACAAAATTTATCGGGACCCGAAATTGCAATCGCAGCCGCAAAGCGATACTGGTGAGGTTCCAGCTTACATTCCAATTCATGGAATTTGTTTCGTGAATTTCCGAGATCTCCCGACTCTCGACTGGGCAGACCGGGGGCTGCAGACGAACATCTCAATGATCACCACGATCCAGGATGCATGTCTTCATTCGTATGTTTAATAGTTAATCTCAGTGAAGGGCTGTGCGGGATCCTGTCGGATATATTAGGCAGGAGTGCTATGATGAGATTTCTAGGCTTCGTTGTGGGGTCTAAGGCCGTAGAGCCTAACAGAGAGAAACCGCAGCAAGAAGTTTGCTCCATCAGAAAAATTCTGGCCCCGCGCCGCTCCTGCAGTTGTGCCGGGAAAGCCGATCGACCCATCGATGTCTCCGCGGATCGTGGCTCGAAAAGACTATCTGAGGTTGGCGCTGTCGAACAAGGCGTACTGGCGAATTTCTGGGGATGGAATACTTTCTCCGTATCATGTCTTCTGATGAGAGCCAGAGTCACAAGAAATCCCATTGACGTCGGCGGTGTGAGGGTTTATTTTTCTGGCCATCCAAATATTTGAGAATCAGAAGGGGATTCCCGAAAGAATCCTGATCGAAGCGAGATCGTTCGGTCCCCGCGTCATGCTTGATCGAGGATGTCTCGACTCGATTCGGAATCCGAGCGTTGTCACATAGCTTCGGCTCAAGAGCTACGTTCGAGCAGGGGGGCCTGGATTCGATTCCCTCGCCTCGGACCCCCGCCCGCCTCACAGGGAGGAACCCCCGGAGGAAGGCGCTGGTTAATCCGATTATCCTCCATCGACAGAGAATCCATATCCATTAATCGATGATGGGCTCAGTCTTTCGCTCCGCTGGTATCTGTGTGCTTAGAAAACAACAGACCGCTCCCGGCTTTCATGCAATCCGACCCTCGGTGGTTATTGCGTGGAAGAATTACTGAAGAACATCGCCGGCCGACGCGGAAGATTAGTCGAAGCTCGGCTTTGGACAAATTAATGCTTACGTCGCGTCACCCAAGGCGTTCTGCGTCGCCTCTACGAACGGCCCGCTCAGAGCGATCACTCCTGGTATTTACCTTGAACGAGCTCCCGTTCCCTCTCTGATCGCCGTGTTCCCAGGGTGATCGATCAGCGAGCGTCGCGAGCATCGGGAATTTTCAGCCCGTAATTAGCTCAAAACACATGACTTATGATGCGCAATCGCGGATTAGGGTCGACGATCTTCTGCGACGGCAACGACACCGAAAGAAATCTTTGTTTTCTTCGGAAGTCCAAATTGGAGAATTCCGTGAATTCCGACCCGAACCCCCATGCCTTCGGAACCGCTCTGTGTTTATTTGCTCGCTTATTGAGCCATCGAATCGTCTTATCGATGCGGGTTGATTTAGTTGATTGGAGAGGCGTTATGCCCACTCAGGCTGGTAGTCGTTTTCATTGTTCTCGGAATCCTCCGACTGGGCAAAAAACAAAGCTTCGCGGTCTGCTTGAACTTCGCACCGCGGCGATCATACGCAGGGTGGCCGTGCGACAAGCGGTTCGTTGTCCGGCTGGCCAGTTTGCTTCCGAACCGAAGACCCGGCTATCTCGATATGTTGGGGCAGGAATACAAGCGTTAGCCGAAGAGCGTGTCCTGAATCCCTGTGAAGCGCCTAAGAAGACGGTGGTCGCGTCTTCGAACGTGCTACACCGTTCTATGCCGACAAGTCAAGCGATTCTCATCACTGCTTGGGAGGTATGCCGAACAAGACAGCTAGCTTGATTTCCCGTGGCCACGTGTCAACAGTTCTTGGGGGTAGGGCTCCGTTTTTATCCCAATCGTCATCATTCGATCGAGATAACGCTTTATCTATCGACCTCACGGATTCGCTGAGGGATCGTAATGCGACCAACATGACTGGGTCTTCTCAGACTTGCATCATGCTCTTTATCGCACCCCGGCGATAGTCTTTCGATTCGCGCATGCATACCACCGATAGTGATTCGCCTCCTGAGCGTGTTGTGGACCAGAGGCTGCGACCGATGGGCCCTTCCAAAACCCTCCGAGAGGTACATTCGAGTTTTGTGTCGGAGCTCCGCGCGACTGACCGGGGGATTCCGACTGAGCGCAGGGGGCTCGTCGACGGGGTCGGGGAGCATTTGCGATGCTGCCGTCCCGAGTGAGACACTTAGAGGATCTGTAGTGATTATTGTAATCAGTGATCATCATCTCCCGATTGGGGGGAAGTCACTTTCAGAGCTTCTTCCTTCAGAGTCAGTGAAACGACGTGACGGAGCCTGATCGCAGACCACCCGTGTCGGGGATTTTGATATTCTCGAGATTTCGGGAGCTCCCCGCAGAATCACTCCACATGAGTTTAGGAAATTCACTGACACGAAGAGTGCGGCATCTCGGAGCAATGAACGATGGATGATTCAATTTTTAAATACTATGTGTCTCTCGCTCCAGAACTATACCATAAGACACATTTCAGTCTCAGAAAGTTTACTCTGCGTCGCGTACGTCAGGATAAGGATCGGTAGAGTCTGAGCGGATTCGGCCGGTTCAGTCGATGTCACGGAGTTGAGCGTCATCATTCCGCTTCCTTGATCGTGAGCATCACCGAAGATGTCATGAGCGACTCAGATCATCGTCGCGCGATCGATCCCCATGCATATTGCTTGCAACTTACTTCTGAATGTTTCTCTGTCGAGGTTGCGCATCTTGCCGATAATTTTGAGGAACGACCCCATGCATTCGGGACTGAGTTCCGCTTTGTCCTGGAACTCGATAACTTTTGGAAGAGCCTGCTTGATGACGGTGTTGATGACATTTTTGAAGCTTTCTTCAACCGCGAGGTATTTGCCTTCGATGCTCAGTGAATCTACGGCGGCCTCCTCTTCTTCATGTTGTCCCGTGTCGTCTTCCTGCTCATCTTGAGCATGACACGGCACAGAACATAGGAACGAAACACCCACAACAACAACAACAACACAAATATACCACCTCATTACGGCATACACAACCACGAAGTGCAAACGGACCTGGCCAGAATTTGCTTAGCGTCAGGGAAAGGGGCATCCATGAAGGTGAGGGCAACCACGGTTCGGAAAGCTCCAGCGTCTACCGCGGGGGCAGCGTCTCGGGATTGGAACTGAGTCAGTGAGGGCTGATCCGTTAAAGGATCCTCTCGTTGAGATTCGAGCCTTCGGATCAAGTAATCCGAAATCCTGGCTATGGGTAGCTGAGAGGAGCCGGTGGCGAGAAGAGGGGCGACCACATCAAACGATCACGGTACTTTCTACGGGTCGTTCCGAATCGCCATTGGAGGAGCCGCTTCTCGACCGCCGGATACGCGGCAGTGTCGATTATATTCTGCGAACGAGAACAGAAGCGCAGAGGGTGGTTAGCGACTCCGGAGATCGCCCATCCTGACTCCGGAGAATATCGATCAAATCTTCCATAGATCCCATCTCGTATGCATTCATGGAAGCGAAAGCATGGACTTGCCGATCGTCTTTTGGAGCTTCAACGGTTGGGCCGTAAATTGAACGCTGCCAGACGGGAAATGAGAAAGCAGTGGTAATGAGGCAAGGTCTTCTCACTCGCGCTCCCTGAGATACGAGCAAACATGTCGATACTAATGGCGATCCGATCGTCAACTGTGTGGAATAAAAGCAAAGGCTTATGCTGAACGCGGTGAATTATCGCTCCCTGACGAACTTCAGCGAAGACCCGAAGACCCATCCTGACCCCAGGATGGAGCCCTGGGAAAGCGCTGTAGTCCAGATGATTCATATGCATCGGTACAGTTCAGGCGAATCAGTCGACGGAAACGAATGAAGATATACGAGAGAGGGAAAATTGTTATCACGCCCACCGGACTTCTCGGGTGCTTCGAAATATATCTTGTACGATTCGCCTGCTCCTGTCAAATGATCACCGGCAGATCTTAATCCGTTCCTGGCAGGAGGCTTTTTTCGACACGGTCCCCAAAGGCTTCTATTGTGACTCGACTACGAGGTCTCAGTCCGGAGGTCGCCTCACCGATATTCGCCGTGCCTCGCTCGCTCCCCTAGAAATCTTTAGACGTTTGGGCCTATCTCGTCCTCAGGTGCTAGGAGAGCAGTGCGAATCCGGTTTCTCCGAATCTCTGAAATCGACCGTCGGAAACCGGCCGATCACTTCAGTTGACTCCGTCAAGCTTCGGAAGTCATTCCGGGGAAATTAATTCCCCGCGGCCTCATTGACTTTCCTATATTCGACGCAATAATGGGTTCTCGTGGAGACTGTGTTGATCAGCAAATTTTTAACTCGGGTATAAACGTCCACGACCAACGATGTTCGAGAAACCCGCAGGGCTGAGCGTGTCCATCTACGGAAATCAATTATTCTACGTTTTGTCCAAAGTTACAGCGCAGTGCAAACGTCTCATCACTATCGTCATAAAGCGATAAGCTGTGGGAAAATAAAAACTCTGCGCATCGCGGCCTCAAGCATCCCTGCGTCTCAAACGATCGTTTTGACCATCCGGAGTCGTGATCTGCACAATATACCCGCGGTTCACCAAACTTTTAATGTTTTGAGTTTCTATAGACCGTCAGGGGTCGGGAAATGAAGTTTCGAAGTCGTCCGAAGCGTCCCATTCGGGGCCAGAGTCGAAGAATGAGTCGCTGCTGGATCGGTGACGATTGCGAGACACCGTCTGCGAGGAGAAGACCGGAGTTTCCGACCAGATTCCCTTGACAATCCTATGAAAATCCAAGCTCCATCATGCCATGGGTAAGAGGTTCCACAAATAAACCTAGATTATTTCACCAAGCATCATCAATGATAATCGGATTAGGAATCGACTTCCTCCGAACACTCCTAATGAAGGGAGGTCCATGGGGCATGGCTTTCTGGGGTAGGGTCGATACCAATTACGGGTCGAAGGGGTTCCCGTCGATCCGGGAGCCAACGTCTCTCGTGGACGGATAGCCAGAGATCCCACTTATTCTTGGGACAATCATCGCTTGCGAGGGTTTTCATTCCGGTCGGCGAGGGAATCCCTACCGACCAGGCACGTGTTCCCTATCCGCACAATTTCTAGTTTTCATTTTCGGAAAACCTTCCGGGGATGCGCGTACCGTCGCGAACCCCAGCTTCGACGGCTCGTCCTCGCTGGAGCCTGCTATGATGATCGCCGACCGTTAATTTATTAGGAAGCCGACACATAAATTGTCAACCAGCAGCCTTCCCTCGTAGATACCTGTGCCTACTTCATCGACGAGCCGCCTCCCCTCTGAATCTGTTTTTCGGTCGCCGAGCTAATAATTACTTCGATGACGGGGATCCTCTCAATCGATTGAAATACGGTAAATCAATCACATACCTCATATCAATAACTTATCATGATCAGTCACGACAAATGCCTTGGAAAGAGCGTCTGTTCTTCCGGGCGATGGGTGATCGGACATTATCTTGGAGTGGAGTACGTTCGCGAATGCGCTGCCCGGTGGTGGATACGCGTCACTTTCCCGATTTCGGCCCATGTGATGCGAGTCAAGTTCTCGAATCGGGGTAGGGCCCACCACACTGTGGAGTAAAACAACTTCATCATTGGTAAGATCCGAAGCATAGAAGCACTACGATCCATTATGCTCCCTGTGTTTCTACCTCAATGCCATCTTATCTTACCCACGAATTTCTCTAAAATCTCCTTTTCACGGTTCCACCAGCTGCTTCAATCAGTGAAGATTCCAGGTCTCGTCGTGGTCGAAGATTCCTTGATGCTTGCTTGTTCTTTGTTCCTGGAAGCCCGATGAAGCGCTTCGTTTAGACCGCTGGTCGAAACAAATCGTCCATCATTTCGGCACTCCGAAAGCGATCGCTAAAGCTGCAATCCCACGGGTGGATTCAATCAGGCCTCAATCACCTCAATCGGGGCCATGATGCATTCTCGTCATTGATGGCTGAAGCGAAAAAAAAACATTCTATTGTGCAAAAGATCACTCCGGAGCTCCGTTCAAAAAACTAATTACAGCTTGAGCTGGAGAAGCGAAGGGACTCATGGACAGTGTCGCTGATTGGCTTAGAGCTCGAACCTCGTCGCAGGGATAATCAGGAATCCCGAGTTGACCACGGTCGATCACCGAGAGGGAGAAACGTGTCCAGGGGATATTCTGTCGCTCGAGAATCATCCCGGCTGGCCTGTGTGAGTCGAAACTTAGATTCTCCCGTCACGGAACAGTCGCCTCTCCACCATTGTCCCTCCAGCTGCATTGTTTCCCAGGTGGATATCCGCGGACACAAAAAAGAGAGATGAAATTCCAGCGAGAGACGAAATTCCGAACTCGCAATATTTCCTACGACCAAGAGAGCTCGTTTCACAGCTGCATGTCTTGTGCTGTCTATTTAATCTTGAAGAGAATCAAGCCAAGCTGATCAGTAGGCTTCATTAGCACTCGTACATGCTGGTATTTCCAATTGATGATGGCACCGTTGAGGAGGTTATTCGAATAGTCAGTCGCTAGCTAGGCCATACGACCCAAGTATTATACAATGGAGCGCATCGAAATCAGTACCTCTGGGCCGCATGGAGGAGCTCTGTGACGGCACACCTCTCTGGAGCGGATCGAATGTTTTGATCGTAGACCTACCATTGTCGCTTATTATCAATCGTTTTTTTTTCAAAGCACTAGTGCTGGTCGTTATCGTCGACGGCATAAGTGCGGCAGCTAGAATCTTCCGATATCGCCGGACGGACTGAGCGATATGTCGTTCGAATTACGTCTGAATTCCTAGCGGTAGACGGATCAATTTCTTTTCTGAGTTCTTCTCGCACGGGATGCTCGTCGCCTCCTCAATCAAGAGACCTGATCATCTTACAACAAGCACTATTCGTCGAAGCGAGCCTCAATGAACGAAGACGTCTCCATTTGGAAGGGCGGTGATTCATCGATCCAGCGGTTCGGTCGAAATTCCGACTCGCGGGACGGCTGGGTCCATCGATCGCATGAGTGATTACAAATCATGTGATCTGAAAAACGTGCTCCCGCTAATGGTGGAACTTCGGATCTTGCTCGGAAAACGAGCCCCAGGAGCGAAGTCGGGATGAACCTCAGGAAGTCTTCCCCCTCGAACAGGACGCTTCCAATGAATGGATAAGAAGATCAATCTGATTCAAAAATAATTCCTGGCAGGGGGTTCCGATGGGACTGCCGAGAAGGCTGCGTGGAAAGTTTTATTATGGTACAGCGGAGATATATTGACTGATTACGACTGATCGAATGATGTGATGATGATCTAATGATCGGAGTCACTTCTTCCGACCTTCTCGAAGATCCTCAGACTCTCAATCGCTGCCGTTCGCTTCGTGCGATATCTCACAATAGGTTTTGACCAGATCTCCTCGTTCTAGCGAACGGTTTTCAAGGTCTGCCTCGTGGCCCGATTGACGGAGAACTCCACTCGAGAAGAATCTCAAATTGGTCCCTCATCCGTGAGGTCCCTAACCAGGGTCGCTCATGTTTACAATGAAAAGGTGTAGACATCAGCGAGGATCAATTGTAGCCTTAACCATAACCAGAGTAGAAGATGCATTTCTTTCCATTCGAGCACGGACTGGCGGAGATCCGTGAGGTACCCGGCCGCAGCGTCGCTCACGATCAGTCGGCTGGAATCTTCGATTTACCGTCAATTCTGCACGCTGAATTTCCGGTCTCTGACGACCATCGAAGACTCATTCAAGTCGCGTAGGTCGATCACCTCTGAGAAAACTGACAATCGGAAGCAATCACTGATCCCAGTGTTCTTAGCGGTACCTGAAATGCTTCTCGCAGATGCCAGAATAGAGCAGTTGATGAGAAGTCAAGATGCGGGTCTTGATGATAAATTGGGTGGTCTCTCTTTCTTCTTTTGATGATGTCTCCCAATCCGATCGGGCCGAGAGAAAAATATAGATGACATCATTCTCGGATGTCAAATCAAAATCAAGTTCTTTTTCAATCTGACCTCTTTCGCGTGAAAAATTTCGGGGGAA